TTTATTTTTTTTTAAAAAAAAAGAAAAAAAAAAGAAACTAAAAGTTCTAATATATCTACTATCTTTTATTAGCATCACAAGAGACTAGAAATCGTCGAGCAACGATAGTTTTAGAAGATCATCATATGAGTGATGATCAAGATGAAGCGGTAACAAGAATCCCATCCACATCAAAGCAATCACATACAACAAATCATAATTTTGTAGAAAAGATCAAGACAGTATTTTCAAGTGAAAAGCAACGTGCTCATAAATCATTTATGATAAAAAAAAATCATGCTCCTGAAGATACAAAAGTTGAAGGAACTCATCCACCTTTATTATCAGATACCTTGTCTACCCCTTCTTCATATTCTTCTTCTAGTTCACGGCCAACTGCCTTACAACCCGTTCTCTCTCGTCAATCTACTTATTATAATTCATTAAATGGAATTTTGGAAGAATGCGTCACAGCAAGAGTAACACTATCTGAACATAGCTCAAGTTAGTTTATGTACACAATATTATCTTTTCTTGTTTATTTTATATTTATTTATATATATTGCATATGTATCATATATATTATGTAATCCATCATTTTTACTTTTAATTATACATATTATTTTTCCTTTTCTTATATGTATATATGTATACATGTATGTGTATGTTTTTTTTTTAGGAAAAAATAAGGTGAGAGAACTTCATATGTATAATTCTTTATTTTATCTGATTTAAACTTTTTCAGCTCTGCTTTTCAATATAAATTAAGATGAATTAAATAATATCAATAGAAAGCATAAAAAAAAAAGCTTCGAGTTCATTTGTACAGAAAGAGTTATATTATTTTAATCTCTATTATAAATAGAGACGAAGCCTTTTTATACTTCTATTAAAAAAAAAAGCTGTAGTTATTCAATGCAAATTCAATCTCATAGTAACTATATTAACAATTTTATTTATTTGGTTTGATTTGATTTGATAAATGTTTGGATTAATAGAGGTATGTAATTTATACGGAATATAATTTAATTGAAAGTGTAATTTTATAGTTTATTAAAAGAAAATAATTGATGCGAATATAAACTAAATTTTTTCATGCTCGCCATTGGAGGACATCAAAATTCTTTTTTCTGCTAGTAAACGACGCTCAAGGCTTGCCCATTCTTTCAAAACGTTTCATGACAATACATGAACTATCAAATTCGCCTTGTCGTCGTCCATGATCATCCTTTCCTTCTCAGCTTTCGTCACTCCCTCAAGTACCCTTGTTTGACCCCATGAAAAATCATCAAATGCCAGTAGGCATAGGCCGGTAAGATAAAGTTCCAAATAGGTAATGACAGCAGATAGATACACATCCAACCAATATATACCATTTTTCGTGTTGTGAAGGCAATGAGAATAGCAGGTAAACCTAAAATAGCCGCTAAAAGCAAAAGGGGAATAATTGGAATAGGTCTTACAAAGAAAGAAATGACAATTAAATAGATGGTAAAGCAGATAGCAGCAGGTAAAACGACTGTCCCTACTAGTTCCATGAAGACCACAAATTGCATGAAAAACAAAATGTACCACAAAGGTCACGAATAAGTACAAGTTCTAAAAGATTATGCACAGTTGAATTAATCCATCTTCTTCGTTGAGATAATAATACATTGAATGTATCAGGAACGACCGTTTTACAAACCTGGAGAAAAAAAATAAAATGAAATAAAATAAAATAAAATAAAATAAATATTTGTCAGCAGAAACTTACTGCTTGAGGTACAAATATCATTTTCGTTTAGGGAAAGTGCGAAGCATAAGGGTAGTCAAATAACGATCTTCACCTAAAAGTAATAAATTCTTTTTGTGTAATGTGTCAACTATATTTTCGCAATACATTTCAATTATATCTGAAGAACAAATGATAGGAACATAACGATCTCCTTTAGGGGCAATAATACGATACATACAGAAACAGCCTGGCAAGCATGTTACACCGCCAAAGATAGATTCAAATGCTTTGCTCATATGATGTGAAAATAATATTCAAACACTATATGGATATAAATGATAAAATATATTCATCTATATATATACATATATAGTTGCAAAAAAAAAAAAAAAAAAAAAAAAAAAAAAAAAACCTTGAATTGCTGTAACCCAGCTATCACCCTTATTTGCAATCTTTGTTTCCCCACATAACCCCATTATATAAGGATCTCTTGACATACAGGCAACCATACGAGCTAAGGAATCAGGATATACTTTTGTATCAGCATCAACCATCAAACAAGTTTCAAATTTAGAAGGGTGATTTCCTGTCAACTTCACAATGGCCTTACAAAATTGATACTCTAGCTCACACATACGTTCACCATAATATACCTTTTGCATCGTGTTCATCAAGATGACTTGACTGTCGCGTTTACCTCTGTTTCCTGGTTTCTTATTATCTTTTATTTCTGATTCTGTACCGCATTTGACGATAACGATCATGGGCACTCTATTATCATCTGAATCTGTATTTATACCATCATAGTAACCAGCATAGACTTTGGCTCGATTATGTCGTTTTGCACCATCGGCGATAGCCACATAGGAACTGGGCTTTACCCTTTGTCGAGGAATTAAATCATTTTTCATCATAGAGAGTACGATATCAGGTGTTGATTGACATTACCAGACCCCGTAATAATACCATCACAAACGACAAGTAATAATTTATGTGAGACGGGATAATCAGTAGTCGCTAATGATTCGAGGGTTGTTCTTAAGCCTTCCTCTCCCTCAGAATAGCAAGTGACGACCATGAAGGTATGTAAGAGATCAAAATTGAAATTATATTGAAGCTGTTCTTGTAAAGTACGTGTAGAGAATGATTTATCGCTTTGATATGGCTGTCTCTGATGATAAGCAGAGAATGTACGAAAGAATTGAGAACTGATAGTATAAGGAATTGGAGATGACAGAGTACCTCCTAAAGAGGAAGGAGCAAAATAATGAGATCGAGAGGCACTATTGAGAATACGTGGTGAATTTGGTTGTGTAAATCGTGAGATGGTTGGAAAGAATCGTCTTCGACTACTTGAATGAAGTGCCATCATCGGTCGTTCCTCATTTGTCATGGGGATAATCTCTGTGATAGTGTTGTTACTATTTTCAGTCGCCATTCTATGACTGATAACAACATCACTTTGAACATTTTCAGGCAAAGATTGAATACTTTGTGTACGAGGGAAGTGCATATCTTCTACATTATTCATCTCCCATTCAAGCACCTTTTCTCTTCTCTTACGTCTTTCCTCATCTGTCTCCTCTCGAATACTCCCCAAATTCCATGAAATAAACCATCCAAATATAAGAGCTAACAGGAATCGAATCACAACGACACCCAAGATGACAGCTAATGAAACCCAAAGTACGATATCTGAGATGATGCACCCAGCTGATCTTGTATCGACTACACCCACTTTTAATATATCTGTCAGACATTTACCGATCTGTAACCGATCTGCAGTCGTACTAAGCCAATAGGTTGCATCACGTCCAATAAACGCATTTCCTGGTCCTACAATTTGTGCCACCTGACTTGGTAAAGGGATATTATGTGTCAAGTAACGAAGACGAGATAAATCTAATACATTACTTGTAATAAAAGAAAGATGATGAGTTTTTTTTTCTTTTTTTACTGAAAAGTTTATACATATATATATATATATAATCATTACCCATTAAAGGCTACTAAATTTGTATTGGGCTTTTGTATATCTGTCCAATTATAATAAATATCACCTACAACATTCAAACGTCTCAATGAAGTACGTGCTCTCAAATTGGTATGACAACCATGACGTTCCTCATTGTCCGTGCCCTGAATATAACCCTGATTTAGATAATCAAAGGTAACGCAAGGAAAATAATTGCCTACGTTCCCCTCATTATCATCTGCTTGAATGGGTTTCAAGATCCCCTTACAATTATAATTGACGGTTTGAAATAGAAAAGATAAATCATGACCCCCAAATTCTTGTAAATCAATACCATGTGAATCAATGGGTGACTGTTGGATACGAGGATCACGTAAAATAGTGGATGAGATAGGATGTCTAAATGTTTGAAGGTCATAGGCGCGACCAGAGATAACGATATGATGAGATTGAATACCTGTAGGTTGAATACGATTCGTTTGACGACCACAAACGGCAGCATTAAATCCAAATGTTAAGAATCCTACAAGTGTACATAAAAAGACAATAATTTGAACCAACGTTACTTTTTCACGCCATGCCTGTTGCATTGTTTTTTCTTTAATGCCTATATAAGTTTTTTTTTTTCAAGTGTTATTATTATTATTATTATTATTATTATTTGCCTTTCTTTAATTATTAATAACTATATACATATATATATATCTTATTTTACCAAAGGTCTGTAATAAGAAAGAAGGCGCCCACCATGTTAAAATCCAACTTGTAGTTGTCCAACAGGTCACAGGCTTCTTTTCTATGTTAGATTTGACTTGTGCTTTATTCACAAAAAAGCTGCCACTATTAGCTAAATAATGTGCTCTTTTAAGTCGTCGATCATCCATTTGTTGCTGTTGTGGTTGTATATTCGTGTCAACTCGTAAATCGATACCTGCTTTCATTTTTTCATAGTAAGGCTTTTTCATTTCCTTTTTTGATATCTTTGACTCTTCTTGTTCCTCTTCTGCTCGTGATGATCTATCTTTCTTTTCTAATTCTTCCATCTTGTTGAACAAAAAAAAAAAAATTAAAAATTAAAAAAAAAGAGATAATAATAATAATAAAAAGAATAAAATGTATGTCGAGTGTTTATACGTTATATTAGAGAATTCTTTACTCCAAGTTCTATTTGAAATTTTATATAAATGTCTATTCCCCACCCCCTCTCCCCACCCCTTAAAAAAAAAGTATATACAAATATCTATCTAAAAAAAAAAGAATAAAGAGAAAGAAGAGAAAACATTTATTTTATTTTTTTTTTTTCATATATACGTTTATTAAATTAAATGTTTATATTGACAATGCATTAAAGGTATGAAGAACATCTTGTACGGTTGGTAATCGCCAGGTCGCCATCGTCTTTTTATCTTCAACACCTACGACAATAGAGAAGATAGGTAAGTCTTCTTGTTTATTACCTACTTTCTTTAAAACTTTAAACATATCTTCATCCGTTTTATCATCACCACAACACATAATAAAATCAATCTCCTTATTGGCAGATAATAAACGCTTAATAATTTCACCCTTATTCGTTGCCTTGGGTCGAACTTCTAAATTCTTTTTACCCACAAGGACTTCGACTGGCATCTTGGAAAGTATCGCATTTTCTAAATGATTTTGACATTCTTTAGATTGAAAGGCGCCATATTCAGGGTCAGCCAATCGATAATGCCAGGTGACAGAGCATCGTTTATGCTCAATGAAACTCCCCGTTGTACGTTCAGCATAATAAGTAAAGATCTCAATCACATCATTTTTCCAACTCATATCAAAATGTTCCATCAGGTTAATCCATCGATGATTGAACTCTGTCGTACTAGGGTATTTCACAAAGCATCCATGTTCAGCACTAAGACCAAGTCCCTTTACCTGTCCTAACCATTTATCCAGGGTTGCTTCATCTCTTCCAGAGATAACCCAAACCTCATTTTGTGCATCATTACATAATTGTTGAAGAGCATTTAACATCTCTGGTGTAGGTGCTCGAGATCCTGGTGTTGTACGTACGTCAGATAAGGTACCGTCATAATCAAAACATAAAAGACGTTTTTTGGATGACTTGTAGTGTTTTAATAGTAAATTAGTTTCTAAAAGTGGGGTATAACTGGATTGTTCTGAAGCAGCTATTGATTCTTCAAGGACATTGACAAATGACTGTGCCCAAAAGGACGACGTATGTGTCTTGACATGACTCAACATTTGCTAATATAATAACTACTTAGTATGTTTTTTTTTTCTTAAAAAAAAGAAAAGAAAAAAAAACGTATCAGATATATTCTTACCACATGTCTTGATTGCTTTTCTTCATCGGAGATAAGAAGAGCTTCATTCATGGCTTTAGCTACTCCTGCATAATCCCATGGATTTACCATAAATGCCGAACTCAACGATCCTGCTGTACCTGTTAATTCTGACAAAATCAATGGTCCATGCTGATCTTGTTGACACACTACGTACTCTAAACTTGTTGTGTTCATCCCATCCCGATTTGCTGTCACAACAGCAACATCTGCTGTAGATAATAATGCGTAATATTCGTCTGTATGAATACGATGATGATAATGATAGACTGGAATGTATTCAAGTGATCCATAACAACCATTGATATGAGCCACCATCTCTGATACTTTATTATGCTCCACTCTTTTATTTGTCTCATTTGATACGGTAGTAGTATCATCTGTCAATTGAATCATGACCACCTTATTTCTCCATTCAGGAAAATCAATTAAAAGTTTTTCAAAGGCAGCTAGTTTCTGTAATACGCCTTTAACGAGATCAATTTTATCTCGACCTACTAAAATCTTTTTGCCAGCATACATATCTTTGATAGCTTTTGATTTAGCGCGTACAGTAGGGTCCTTGCAACGTGATTCAATTTCTTCCGGGTCAATACCTATAGGGAAAGTACCTACATGGCAAAAATGACCATCTGCGCAACGAACCCCCTCAGGGGTAGACTCGTAACCTAAAACACGTGTACAAGTGGAGATAAAATGGCGAGCATAAGCATAAGTCTACTCCAAAAAAAAAAAAAAAGAGTTAGATATATTTTTTTTTTAAATGTTTTCTAAACTAATGTACCTGAAATCCTATCAAATTTGCTCCAATCATTCCTTGTAAAATTCCTGCCTTTCTATACATACATATATGAATATACATAAAAAAAAAGGACGAGTTAATAAAATGTTGAATAGGTGACTCATTCTATTATTTTACTTGGTAAACATCTGAAAATTTCTGAGGTAGGAAAAGGTGAATGCACAAATAAGCCAATCCTTGCTTTTGGGTATCTTTGTCTAATCATTGAAGGTGTAAGTAGTAAATGATAATCATGTACCCAAACTACATTCAACATGTGTGTGTATAAAGAATAATGATTTAATTTTTTTTTTTGCCATTTCAATTACATGAGATGAACTTACTAATGTCATTATTTTCTTCAGGTCGGTATATATCACATACAAAATCCGCATATAGTTGATTAACTGCTACATAAGCTTCCCTTGTTTTCGTTCTAATCGACCATCTGTAGCATCGCTCCAAATCATGTAATGAAATAAAGGCCACAACACTATTATAATAAACTTTAGTTTCTTTACACTAAAAATGAAAATTTTCTTTTTCTTTACTTGTTTTGCAATAGCCATCATAATGTCCAGATACACTTTCACTATCTACAAATAAAGGTAAGCAATCCAATTCCTTTAATTTATGCTCTAATTCCTCCTTCTCAGTTTTTCCTAATTGATTATAATCAACATGTTCCAGTGTCATTGATGAGTTATTGTTGTTATTATGTTGTTGTATTTGCTGCTGCTGCTGCTGCTGCTGTTGTTGTTGTTGTTGTTGTTTCATAATATGGCCAGTCCAACCTATATAAAGAACTTTCCAATAGCCACTTTTTTGAAGAGAATGAATACCACCATACATAGCGCCATGACCCCTTCGAGGAATCAAATGCCAATAATCATCTTTGTTGTCAGTTAGTGTTATTTCGTAAGGAATTTGATGAGTAACGTTTATGATGCGGCTTTTTCTTTTGTCATTTTTTAATATATTGGAGAAAGTAAAAAAAAAAAAATAAAATAAAATAAAAAATGTTTTATATTATACAGAAAAAAAAAAAATGTATATAAATATATTATTCAGATACAAATTGATTTTCTTTAAATAAATTATAAATGTATAACGTCCTTTTTATTATTCATATAAACAAGATAAAGTATGAACGACCCCTATAAATACTCATGACGTCTCTCTCTTTTTTTTTCTAGTTTGTCCTTGTATATGAAGACTTTTTTTTTTTGATTTACTTTCAATATTATGCGAAATCAAATAACAATAAGAACATTGTTACATGTGATCCCTATCTGTTGAATAATAATGCAATGCTAATAATTTTTAATCCAATAGGAATCCTTTTTGAAAAGATGTTACTCATAAGTACGCCCCTGATTCTTGCGTCTTTTTCCCTTCTCCCACCCCCAGTTTCCTTTATCTATTTATTTATTATTATTCTTTTGTTTTTTTTCGTTTTTTTTTTTTATTTTTTTTTACTAAAGAATAATGTCTATACTGAACTCATCTCTTCGGTCGGCTCTCTCCCAGCGTTTAATCTCTTTCTCTAATAAAGTAACAGTCATTAGACCTTTACAGTCCATCATTAAAGCAACTGTTTTACCCAATAACTTTATTTCTCAACGTTCTTATATAACAAAGCAAGTCTCTTACACCGTTGATAAATTCCCGGGTTATATTCGTAATGAACACTTTAAAAAGGTAAAAAAAAAAAAAAATAAAATAAAATAAAAAGAGACTTGATATACATTACTTGTTTTGTTAATTTAAGGAAAAAAAAAAAATAAAATAAAATAAAATAAAAAATCAAACATTATATAAATCGAATAGCTTACAGAAGATGATGTATCCCATTTTAAATCTATTGTTGGCAGTCATAATTTAATTTATAACAATGAAGATGACTTGTTCCTTTTAATACTGATTGGATGCACAAGTTTCGTGGTCAATCTCAAATTGTACTTAAACCAAAAACAACTCAACAAGTTTCGGATATTTTAAAATATTGTAACGAACAAAAGTAAAAATTCAGGGAAAAAAATAAATAAATAAATAAAGGGAGAAAAAGAGAGAAAGAAAGAAAGGAAAGTCTATATGAAATTTTAACTTATTATTTCGTTATATAGCTTAGCTGTTGTACCACAAGGTGGAAATACAGGTTTAGTAGGTGGATCTGTTCCTGTCTTTGATGAAATTATATTAAGCTTACAAGGAATGAATAAAATACGTGGATTTGATAGCGTCTCAGGTGAGTTACGAAATAAGCAAAAAAAAAAAAAAAAAAAAAAAAAAAAAAAAAAAAAATACATTAAAATAGCCCATTCATATTCGTTTTTTATTTTATTTTATTATGATAGGTATTTTGACAGCAGATGCGGGCTGTGTACTTGAAGTTCTTGATAATTGGTTAGGTGAAAAGAATTATATGATGCCATTGGATTTAGGTGCCAAAGGAAGGTAAAGATGATTTTAATCTTTAAACTGAGAGAGATGTAGGTTAGAATTAAAATGGCATATACTCTAGTTGTCAAATAGGTGGAAATATTGCTACAAATGCAGGAGGTTTAAGATTATTACGTTATGGATCTCTTCATGGTACGGTATTAGGCTTGGAAGTAGTAAAGTATAGAACCAAAAAAAAAAAAAAAAAAAAAATAGAATGGAGAGAAGGATAAACATAGATGAAATGCCTATAAAATTGACTATTCTTAATTATGTATATGTTTTATAGGTTCTACCAGATGGTACAATCTTAGATAACATGTCAACTTTGAGAAAGGACAATACTGGTTATGATTTAAAACAATTATTTATTGGCTCTGAAGGCACAATTGGTGTCATTACTGGTGTCTCTATTTTAACTCCTCATAGATCAAAGGTAAGTGAGTCAACTCTTGTATATAAACAAATGATTGACTCGATCAAAAAAAAAAAGGCAGTTAATGTGGCTCTTTTGGGTTTAAATTCTTTTGAAGATGTTCAAAAGGCATTTAAACAGTCTCGACTTGAACTTTCTGAAATATTATCAGGTAAAAAGTATTCAAATCATGTTTAAACAAGAGACTTAACATTTATTATGGATGATTAGCCTTTGAATTTTGGGATATTAATGCACTTCAAATGTTCAAGAAGCATGCCACTCCTAAAGCAGTCATGGAAAAGGAATATCCGTTCTATGTTTTAATTGAAACAAGTGGATCAAATAAAGATCACGATGATGAAGCAAGTATTTCAAGAAAGTAATTGAATAAGAATTCGTATTAACTAACAAACATGATCTATTTTCTGTATAGAAATTAACTAATTATCTTGAGAAAATGATGATAGACGGTGTTGCAGAAGATGGTGTAGTCGCTCAAGATGAAACACAAATTAAAAGTCTTTGGAGTCTTCGAGAGGGATTTACAGAAGCTCTTGGAAAGGAGCCTGCAGTCTATAAGTATGATATCTCTATGCCTGTTCCAAAGCTTTATGATTGTGTGCAAGATATGAGACAACATCTTCGAGATGGAGGTGTCTTTGGGCAAATCGATTCCCCTGTAACCGATGTTGTAGCTTATGGTCATGTTGGTGATGGTAATCTTCATTTGAACATTGCTGCGAATCGATTAGACAGTAAGGTATCTGCTTTAATAGAGCCTTATTTGTTTGAATGGGTTGGTAAAGTAGATATATTTTAGATTGCTTTTATTTTTTTTATTTTGCTAAAGTATCTATCCGTGTATATATAGCCAATCATCAAGGATCTATCAGTGCTGAGCATGGATTAGGTGTCGCTAAGAATGAGTTCTTGGGATATTCCAAGTCACCTGTAATGATTAAGATGATGAAAACTGTAAAGAAGATGTTTGATCCAAATGGTATTATGAATCCTTATAAGGTAATTATGAAAACAATGTAAGAAGAAATAGAACAAGGATCATCAATTTAACCCTCTTTTTATCATTTAATATAGTATCTTCCTACACACTAAATTATTATTATTATTATTATTAAAGAGTCTATTTATAATGAATTGTTGTCATAAATATAATTGTTTCTTTCTTCTTTCTTTCTTCTTGTCTTTTTATTATGAATAATTTATCTCATCTTATACATCGTTTGTTAAAGCAAATGTATGTGTCCGACCCATTACAAAGTCATTACAAGATTATTTGTATTATATGTATTATCATCAACATGATCTTGACTGTATTAAACTTTATGAAGATGAAAGAAGACTCTCTGTTAAAAGTAATCCTGAAAAAATAAAATCGTATATTGAACAACTTGACAAATAACCTTTTTAATTATTATAATGGACTTTGTTAGAGAATAAAGATGATATGTATAGAGAGTGGAAATGATGATTGATATAAATGGTTATAGTAAATTATGTTTACCCTTAGATATTCTTGGAAAGTGGATAAAGTTGTAAAAGATTCTAGTGATAATACACTGAAATTTAACTGAAGAAGAAGAAACAATGACAAAACTTGTAATGGAAGGTAAAATGCTATCTTTTATAACGTGTATAATATATTTATAGTTGTATCTATAATAGGTCATGATGCTGCTTGTTTATTCATTGAAGTAGGGTAATAGACAGACAAAAAAAAAGAAAAGAAAGGCTTTGTATATTTTTATTGTTCTACTATATATGTATATTCATATATGTATAAAGGGGTGATTATCTAGCATTTAAGAAAAAGTAATGTCATGTCATTCTAGCATGTATAATACATGTACTTATTTATCTTAACACAAGACAAAATCAAAAGAAGCGAATTATAGATAGACTTGATGAATGCATTCAAAGCATGATAAATAAGCATGAAATAACTACAGTTGCAATTGAATACGTTTATTTTGGATTCACTGACACTTATAGTTATGATCTAAGAAGAGATGTCCTTTGTCAAAGTAAGTAAAACCAGAATAAAATACTTGGATTCGTCTTCATGTTTATATATTTTAAAGGTGATGACTTGATAAATAAGGGCATAGATCATTGGATGAAAAAAATTGATAGTTTACAAGATTTTGGAAATTAGTTTCAAGAGGATCCAAAATATCTAATATTTTGAAAATTAAATTAAGCTATTCATCCTCAAATGCATCATTAAATAGACAGTCAAATCTTTATTTATTTGATTTACATTTGCTGGAAAACAAGACAAAAGATGAACATTACCAAAATGGAATTTATTATTCATTTATGAACATACGTAAAGAAAGTTAAAAAAAAAAAGTATCTATTCATTAATTTGTGTGCGTGTGTGTCTTAACTGCAGTACATTAAAATAGGTTCTATTGTGGAAAGAGCTTTAACAAAGCCAGATATTGACAGATCAGAAAATAATCAAATTATGACTAATTATTATGTATTAACTCATTTATTAGCTCCATTTGCTTGTGGACATCATTATCTCATTATTGTAGCCTATATTCAAGTAAGGAAGAGCTATTATATAACAATACATTAAAATGAATAAATAGTAAATAATATATTCATATAGGAATGTCTTCATACTTTTAGAGAAGAAATCATAATGGTACTTGATTTGATTGAATTAATGAGATCTATCCCTATTATTTCACTCGTTAATCCTAGCTATGTAAATCATGAAAAAATAATGTGAATAGTCTTCAACAAAAGATAAGTGTTTGTAGGGTAAAATAGGATTCTAATATACATCTTGAATATAATAGAGGTAAATTCATTTAAAAATGTATTAATTTAATTCTTTTACTTAGACTAAATATGAACAAGCACAAAATGTACCTATTTCTCTATACGCACACACCATATGCTAAATGTAAATTACATTAGTTATTATCCCAAAATAAACAAGTTATACAACAATTACAAACAGAAAATGAACGTCTTTATCTTTATTGAAAAATAACGAGAATGAATACAAGAATATAATTTGTAAAGTCATTTTTTGTTCTATCATTTTATTCTAATTCTAAGTCCAATTCCAAATTCTTACTACTTATAATAGCTACTTATGATACACAACAAGACCAAAAATTAAATTTTATTTACAAGCAAATTCAAGAAAAGGAATTAACCATTAAACAGCATTATCACAATATGATAATAAAAATAAAAAATTAGCCTTTTTTAGAATTTCAACTCTTAAAAAGGAAAAGGTATTTGTATACTCTTGAGTCTAGAGAGATATATTAAGCACAAGCTTATATGTATAGGAGATATTAAGCCATAAATGTAACCAATTACAAGAAATAATGGTAAATTCTTATAAACACACATACATTTAATCATTCTAATGTACATATTTATCAGAATAAATCTATTGAGTCAAAGAATCAACTTCAAATAAAAGTAACAAGGCTTTCTAGATATGTCCAAGAAAAAGAAGTAATCATCATATAATAATATACAACACTCTATTGGGATACATTTAATAGACATTTATTTGTTTTCTTTAGAAAAAGTTACTAAATGAAATTAGAATGATGAGAAAAGAAAAAAACGAGATACGACAACTTTTTGACACTTTCAAGAAGCAATTAATAATAAACAAAGAAGAATAAAAATATGTCAACAAATGCATTTTTTTTTGTGACCAAGCCT